CAGTTTTGGTAGATCATCTAGGGATGATTCAGAGCAGTGCTTTTCCTGTGTCTACTTTCCTCAGCACACCATTTCCTATGTGGATGTACTAGGGAGTTGAGGTACTTGAGATAGGGACTAATAATTAGGAAATTGTACCTTGAGCCTGAACTAGAGCATATAAAGTTGATCTTGAGTTTTGTTGCATTCTAAACTAAGTGGATCTGATGAAAGAACTTTGTACCACAGCCATGTTTGTCTCTCCAATATATTTATCTTTATATTTTAGCTCTAACTGAAATAATACTGTGTTAACTCTTGAGTTCCCCTTTATTGATAATTTTCCTTCTGTGAACATATTTCTTTTTTTTGTTTTTGGTCAGTCTTGGGGCCTGAACTCTGGGCCTGGGCGCTGTCCCTCAGCTCTTCAGCTCAAGGTTAGTACTCTACCAGTTGAGCCACAGTGCCCGTTCTGGCTTTTACTGCTTATGTGGTGCTGAGGAATCAAGCCCAGGGCCTCATACATACAAAGCAATCACTCTACCACTGAGCCACCTTCCCAGCCCCTGTAAACATATTTATTTATACTGAAGGGAAAAATAGGTGTACACTCTCCTTTCAACTCTCTCCCCACAAAATAAAACCTACTGAAACATAGACAATGGGAAAATACCCATACCCCAGCTAGATCAGTTCTGCCACAGCCAGTTTCTAAGATATATTAGAAAGGAAAACTGATAGAAATAAATACATCCTTTTTTTTTTTTTTTGCAGGGTAGGAGAGTGGGGGTTGGTTGTGGGAGCTGTCCCTGAGGTTTTCTGCTCAAGGCTAGCACTCTACCACTTTGAGCCACAGCTCCACTTCTGGTTTTCTGGTGGTTAATTAGAAATAAGTCTCATGGACTTTCCTGCTCTGCTGGGTTTGAACCATGATTCTCTGATCTCAGCCTCCTGAGTAGCTAAGATTAAAGGTGCGAGCCCCAGTACCCCAGCTTTGTGTGCATGTGTGTGTGCGCGCGCATGTGTGTGTGCGCGCGCATGTGTGTGTGTGCATGCAAACACTCTACCACTAAGCCACATTCCCAGCTCCCAATTACTCTTTTAATTTTTGCCATTTACCTTGTTTCCATCTATGTATGTTTTAATATAAGTAATGCCCATATAGTGCTGTATCATGAGATGTGTCCTTAGTGTATAACAATTATTTCCTTGTATTTCTGTGGAATTATAATAGAAAGTCAATGTTTCAAATGCTCTGTTATCAAGCAGTTCTTCAATTTCAGATCATCATGTTGTTTCTTTGTGCTAAAGAAATAATGTATCTTCTACATGTGCCTTTAAGCTTTTCTTCAGTTGTTTCCCTAAAATAGATTCCTAGGAGTGGGTTTATTGTGGAGGGCATATCTTTATGGTGCTTGTCATAGTTCCTTTCTGAAAATAAGTACTTTTATCTGCTCAATACTTTTCATAATACAACTAGGAACCATGATACTATTATTTTGCTACAATTTTTATTTTATTTTACTTTATTTTTGTTGGTCATGGGGCTTGAACTCTGGGCCTGTGCACTGTCCCTCAGCCCTTCAACTCAAGGCTAGCACTCTACCACTTGAGCTACAGCGCCACTCCTGGATTTCTGAGTAGTTTATTGGAGTCTCACGGCCTTTCCTGCCCAGCTGGCTTTGAACTTTGGTCCTTAGATCTCAGCCTCCTGAGTAGCTAGGATTACAGTGTGAGCTACTGGTGCCTGGCTCTGATTTTAGTTTTAGTTTGTTTTTTTTTTGCCAGTCAGTGGGCCAGAACTCTGGGCCTGGGTGCTATCTCTCAGCTCTTCAGCTCAAGTCTAGCACAATACCACTTGAACCACAGAGCCACTTCAGGCTTTTTCTTCTTATGTGGTGCTGAGGAATCGAACCCAAGGCCTCATTCATGCAAGGCAAGCACTCTACCACTGAGCCACCTTCCCAGCCCCTCTCATTTTAGGTTTTAAATCTCAAATTAACAAAAACTATTGTTTCCTGAAATTCAGTGTCTTGTAAATATACCCACAGTTTTCAGTTAGAAATTAATTCATTAATTTATAATCGTCTAAGTAATTATATATTTTGTCTAAATATAGTTTGTGTAAATATTATGTATTTTACAAATTCCTGCACATTATTTTTCTCTGTTCTTCAGTATTTCCAAAGTTTTATCACTAGCTTGTTAAAACTACAAATCTCCATAACATTCTATTTTTTACTTTACAATGTGCTATGTCAGTTCATATTTACATACTTAGTATGCCTTAGAATTTACTTTATAAAATTTGATACTTGTGCAAACATGTCTGTTAATTTAAAAAATGAACAGCTCAACTTTTATTTGAGATAGTATCTAGAGACCTAGAATATTAAAGTACATTTTTCTGAAGGTGCAAATCTTTTTGTATTCAGATAGGTCTTTTTCCAGATACTTTCTGTGTGTGATACATGGCTTTGTTAAAACTAACATAAGATTTTTGGCCTAGAATAGCCACCTAGGCTGTTTGTCTCTGTCATACTTACTTTTTCCTTCCAGTCTAGCCTATTATTACTCCCAGATTAATTTTTACTGTTCACTGGAAAACTTAATTGACTCACCAGTTCTAGATGATTGGAACATAAAGTTTTTACCTTGGCTTTTGCAGGTTCATGAGAACTCTTGGCCATGATATCAGTGGACCATGTGGCTCCTTATCTAGATATACTTTTTTCTTTTTAATGCCAGTCCAGGAGCTTGAACTCTAGGTTTGGGCTTAGTCCCTGTGCTTGTTTGTTCAAGGCTGCCACTTTACCACTTGAGCCGCAGCTCTACTTCCACCTTTTTGGTGGTTAATTGGAGGTAAGAGACTCATGGACTTTCCTGCCTGGGCTGGCTTTGAACCATAGTCCTCAAATCTCAGCCTCCTGAGTAGCTAGGATTATAGGAATGAGCAGGTTGAACTTTTTTTTCTTTTTCTTTTGGTGAGTTTACCCCATTGTCATGCAGTGAGAGGCCAGAGAGAAAAAAAAAAAAGAGCTAGAGAAGAGCTCATCCTGGATTCTTTTATGTGCCTGGCTGGCTGTCAGTGTCTTTGCTTTCTACATAGCCACCACTATTGCATTATTACTTATGACTAGGAGTGGGCAAAAAGTCCAGAGAGAATTTCCCCATTGTTCTTGACCTTCCTGTTCATGCTTAGGGACCAGAAAGTGTGTTTTTCCTAGAGCTCCTCTTTTTTTGTTTCTGTTGGTTGTGGGACTTAAACTCTGGGCCTGGGTGCTGTCCCCTCAGCTGTTCAGCTCAAGGCTAGCGCTCTACCACTTGAGCCACAGCACCACTTCGGTTTTCTGAGTGGTTTATTAGAGATAAGAGTCTCATGAGCTTTCTTGCCTGAGCTGGCTTTGAATTGTGATCCTCATATCTCAGCCTCCTAAGGAGTTAGGATTACAAATGTGAGCCACCAGCGCCCGGCTAAAGCTCCTTCTCTGTGTATCAAGTCAATACTTCTGGATTTTGGGTTGCCTTTGCCAGGCTAGCCATTACTGGAGGCAAACATGATAACGTCTTGCCAGTTCAGTTTGGTTGAACTAAAATAATTCTTTTTCCAACTCACTTGCTGTCATTTACTTTTTAGATCCTTAAATGGTTTATGGCATGTGCTTTGTCCAGGGTTTATAGTTGAATTAAAAAGGAGAAATGGAGTGGGCCTGCCTACTCATTTTCTGTAAATACAAAACTTTTTTCACATAGGTTTTAGAATGTATTTTCCTCCTCCTCCTCTTTCTCCCTCCTTTTCTTCTTTCTCCTCCTCGGTCTCTTCCTCCTCTTCCTCCCCCTTATTTATTTATATATATTTTTTAGTCTTGGGACTTGAATTCTGGGCTTGGGCACTGTCTCTGAGCTCTTTCACTGAAGGCTAGTGCTCTACTACTTTGAGCAATAGTGCCAGTTCGGTTTTCTCGTGGTTAATTGGAGATAAGAGTTTCGTGGACTTTACTTCCTTGGTTGGCTTTGAACCGCTATCCTCAGATCTCAGCATCCTGAGTAGGTAGGATTACAGGTGTAAGCCACCAGTGCCCGGCATGTTTTCTTAAATAAGCCTAATTCATGGCTATGTGAGTTAATTTTTTCATTTTTTTGTTCATGTTTGTTAAGATTTTTTTTTTTTTTTTTGGGTCCGGTCATGGGGCCTGAACTCTGGGCCTGGGCACTGTCCCTCAGCTCTTCAGCTCAAGGCTAGTGCTCTACCACTTGAGCCACAGCACCACTTCCGGCTTTTTTTCTTTTTGCATATGTGGTGCTGAGGAATTGAACCCAGGGCCTCATGCATGCAAGGCAAGCACTCTACCACTGAGCCACTTTCCCAGCCCTAAGATATTTTTTTTATGCCAGGTGCTGGTGTAAACTTTCATGACTGTAACTGTGAAATACTTGAAATTTGATGAAAATTTTCCTTTTTTTTTCTGTGGTGGTTTTGGTTGTTACAGGTCCTTTATCATTTTACTTTAAAAATAATACCTTTAAATACCTTTATCCCCTGAGATTTATTATCTTTTTCTTAATTTCATTTTCAAAATATGTGAGTTTATTACGACTACAACTTATTGGGCAGGTACTTATTAATTAACTTGTTACTCATATTTTGTTCAGTTGAGCTATGATTACATTAGTCTGATACTTAATTAAAATACTTGAATTTAGTAGTAATTAAACAAAATACTTGACTTTAGTTGCTTTAAGGATTACGTAGATTAGTGTTCAGTTAGCACGTAAGATATTTGCCTATTAGTAATGGACTTTACATATATGTCTTATTTTGCTTACTTTCATACTTGACATTTTTGTTTCCAGAAATATACTTAGTTGAAGAGTTGCATGCATGTATTTGTTAAATCTTAGCAAGCTTTATATTAGCTTTATATTCTTAAGCTCACTCCTGCTTTTAGATGGGAAGTTGTATAAATAGTTTGGAAACAAAAAAATGTGAATATTTGTATTTAATGTCTTTTGATATCTAGAGGATGCCAGCCCCCATCAGATTACGGGAGCTGATCCGGACCATCCGGACAGCCCGAACCCAAGCTGAAGAACGAGAAATGATCCAGAAAGAATGTGCTGCCATTCGTTCATCATTTAGAGAAGAAGACAATACATACCGGTGTCGGAATGTGGCAAAACTACTGTATATGCACATGCTGGGCTATCCTGCTCACTTTGGACAGGTAGGCTGGACCAAAGCCGAACATAGCCAGAACAGTCTTAACTTGAATAAGAATTAATCTTTTTATAGCAGGGATGCACTTTTTAAAATGCTTTTTATTAGTTTTAATTATACAAAGGAGTTGCCACTCACCAGAGTAGTTTATGAATACAATGCATCTTGATCACTGTCATCCCTTTCAGTAGTCTTACCCACCTCTCCTAACCCACCCTTTCTCTTACTTATCTTAATTTTAGGTATATTTAAGTTATTTGACTTTTAACAGTTTATACGTACAATGTCTCTTAATCTGTGTCATCACTTCAACATCTTCACCCCCACTTCGACTCACCCCATCCCTTATATTTCTCAATTCTGTGGCACATACAATGAATTCTTGCCTGCATTATCCTTCCTTCCCTGCTTCATTCTTCTATCCTTTTGATTTTTTTTTTTTTTGTCGGTTGTGGGGCTTGAACTCTGGGCTTGGGCACTGTCCCACAGAGCCACTTCCAGCCTTTTCTGAGTAGTTTATTGGAGATAAGAGTCTCATGGACTTTCCTGCCCGGGCTGGCTTTGAACCGGGATCCTCAGATCTCAGCCTCCTGAGTAGCTAGGATTACAGGTGTGAGCCACCAGCGCCCGGCTTTCTTTTGATTTTTGTAATAACAACTAGCTTTCTTCTTCCAGAAGACCTGGACTTATAATGTACATTTGAAAAATGTTTGCTAAATATTTTCTTATTTATTTCCTCTGTGCACAGTATATGATATGGCAAAACTTATGACAGAGTTCTTTTTTTTTTTCCCCCTTATTTTTGTCTGTCTGGGGCCTGAACTCTGGGCCTGGGCACTTTCCCTATGCTCTTTGGCTCAAGGCTAGCGCTCTACCACTTGAGCCACAGCGCCACTTCTGGCTTTCTCTGTTTATGTGATGCTGAGGAATCAAACCCAGGGCCTCATGCATGCAAGGCAAGCACTCTACCACTGAGCCACCTTTCCAGCCCCTATTGTAATTACTTCTTCCTTTTCTTTTTCTTCTTTCTTCTTCATTCTTCTTTCTTCTTCTTAGTGTCAGTCTTGAACATGGGGCCTGGGCACTGTCCCTGAGCTTCTTTTGCTCAAGGCTAGCACTCTACCATTTGAGCCACAGAGCAACTTCTAGTGGTTTATTGATCCTCAGATCCCAGCTTCCTGAGTAGCTAGGAGTACAGATGTGAGCCACCAGCATACAGTTAATTTTTATTAGTTTTTTTTAGTCTAGATTTTTATTTTTTATATATTTTTTGTTTTTGTTTTGCTTTTTGCCAGTCCTGGGGCTTGAACTCAGGGCCTGGGCACTGTCCCTGAGCTTGTTTTTCTCTAGCACTCTACCACTTGAGCCACACTGCCACTTCCAGTTTTTCCTGTGTATGTGGTACTCAGGAATTGAACCTGGGGCTTCATGCATGTGAGGCAAGCACTCTACCACTAAGCCCCATTCCCAGCCCCAATTTTTATTTTCTTTAAAGGAGATATGTTGATGATGGTGATGATATATGTAGTTGTACAAAAAAGTTACAATTCCCTAAGTCAGGTTATGAGTAGTATGCTTCTTAATGTCACCACTTCCATCGTTCTCCCCCACCTTTTCCTATCCCAGCCCTACTCTCAAGTTACATAGAAAAAATTTATTTAAGAATTACATATTGGGGGGGCTGGGAAGGTGGAGTGGTAAGAGTGCTTGCCTTGCATGCATGAGGGTTCGATTCCTCAGCACCACAAAAGTAGAAAAAGCCGGAAGTGGCACTGTGGCACAATGGTAGAGCGCTAGCCTTGAGCTGAAGAGCTGAGGAACAGCGCCCAGGTCCAGAGTCCAAGCCTCACAACCAACAAAAAAATTACATATTGGGCTGGGAGTTGGTGGCTCACGCCTATAATCATAGCTACACAGGAGGCTGAGATCTGAGCATCGCAGTTCAAAGCCAGCCTGGGCACAAAGGTCTATGAGACTCTTATCTCTAATAAACCACTCAGAAAACAGGAAGAGGCACTGTGGCTCAAATGGTAGAGCGCTAGCCTTGAGCTGAAGAGCTGAGGTATAGCACCCAGCCCCAGAGTTCAAGCCCCACGACCGACAAAAAAAAAAAAAAAGAATTACATATTGGGACTGGGAAGGTGGCTCAGTGATAGAGTGCTTGTCTTGCATGCATGAAGACCTGGGTTTGATTCCTTAGTACCACATAGGCAGAAAAAACCAGAAGTGGCACTGTAGCTCAAATGGTAGAGGGCTAGCTTTGTGCTGAAGAGCTGAGGGACAGCACCCAGGCCCAGAGTTCAACTCCCACAACCAAAAAAGAAAATTCCATATTGAATAGTCTTGAAGGAATTCAATGCAAAATTAAAAGAAAATAAATGTGCAGCATTGCAAAGGAGGAAAATACATCTTTCTAGAAAAATATATTTCTTTTTTCAAAGATAAGTCATTTTTTTTGAGGCATATCTATTTAGGCTCAATAACTTAAGTGGAAGGAGATCTCCTGCCCCAAGACATAAAAGTATTAGGATTGAATCTTAACAGATTAGCTTGAATTAGTGTTATGGTCATTTTAGGTGTTGGGAATACAATCAGTCTCCTTATAAATATGTGATTTTAGCCAAGACCAGTGGTTGACACTTGTAATCCTAGCTACTTAGGAGGCTGAGCTCTGAGGTTAAGATCAAAGCCAGCCAGGGCAGAACAATTCCTGACACTTTCTGATATTGTTGTTGTTGGTCATGGAGCTTGAAATCTGGGCCTGGGTGCTGTCCCTCAACTCTTCAGCTCAAGCCAAGTGTTTGACCACTTGAGCCACAATGCCCCTTCCTGTTTTCTGGTGGTTAATTGGAGATAAGAGTCTCATAGACTTTCCTGCATGGACTGGCTTTGAACTTCGATCCTCAGGTCTCAGCCTCCTGAGTAGCTAGGATTACAGGCATGATCCACCAGCATCTGGCTCCTGACACTCTTTATCTCCAATTAACCACCAGAAAAACGGAAGTGGAACTGTGGCTCAAAGTGTGAAGTGCTAGCTTTGAGCACTCAGGAACACACATACCTGTGTGTGTGTGTGTGTTCGTGTGTTTGTGTGTGTGTGTGTGCATGCATGTGCACACGTGCACGCGTGAATACAAGTCCTGGGGCTTGGATTTAGGACCTGGGTATTGTCCCTGGTTTGTTTTGTTCAAGGCTAGAGATCTACACTTCTGATCTATTTCGAGCCTCATGACCAATCAACAACAACAAACTAAAAAATAGGGTGAGGCCAAGTTCAAGCCTTATAGAATTAGCCACACATAGACACACACAAATGTGAATAATGGGTAGGAAAACAGCAGTTTCCTTAAAGAAAAAATGAGTTGTTAATGTAACTTTCATATATTTGGTTTTAGATATTATTGTCATAAGGGATTCATTCACATTAGTCATAAAATAATTTCTTTTTTTCATGTAAGGTGTTGGGTGGCAGTGGGTCATGGATGTAATCCCAGCTACTCTAGTGGTTGAGAGCTGAGGATTTGAAGCCAGCCCAGGCAGGAATGTCCTAGAGACCCTATCTCCAATTAACCACCAAAATAGATCAGAAGTGTAGATCTCTAGCCTTGAACAAAACAAACCAGGGACAATACCCAGGTCCTAAATCCAAGCCCCAGGACAGGTATTCACGTGTGCACGTGTGCACATGCACACACACACACACACACACACACACACACACACGAGCACACACACACAGAGGTGTGTGTGTGTGCGCGCCCAGGCACTCATTGAAAAGTAATTAATACCCTTGATGTGGATACATACACACACAGAGGCAACTTGATATGGATTTCATTTTTCATTCTTATAGAGATAGGAGTAGAAATAAAGCCTAAAGCTGTACTGTTTCAAGTTACAAGGTTTTACCACATCAAAATTTGATCCTAGTAGTAATCCAGTTAGTGCATGACATAATATAAAACAAACAGATGTTTTGGTAGAAACATTAGGTTAGATTAATAGAAATTTGATGTTTCCTAAAATAAGATATAAAAAAACAAAAGATACCCTAGTGAGAGAAAATTCTTTAAAAAATTTTTAATTGTTATAAATGTGGTGTACTAAAATTCTTGAATTTCTCCATACAGATACAACTACTGTTAACATCTTGGAGAGAGTACATTTAAGTTCTTTAAAAACAAGCTCTTTTTTTTTTGTTTGTAGTGAACTAAGGGTCTTGCATTTGCTAGGCAGATGGTATACCTCTTGAGCCATGCCTCTAGTTCCTTTTTTAGTTAGTTTGTATAATGTCTTGTATTTCTGCCTGGGCTGGCTTGGATTGTGATCATCCAGTGTGTTCTTTTGGAGTGTCTGTGATAACAGGCATACACCACCATACCTAGTTTTACTGGTGTCTTAGGCTAGCCTTGTAGTGTGAGCCTCCTGATTTCTACTTTCTAAGTAGCTAGGGTAATAGATATAAGTCATTGTGTCTATACTACAAACATTAAAAAAATTTTTTTTTTTGCTAGTCTTTGGATTTGAACCTAAGGGCCTATGTGTTGTTACTGAGCCTCTCTATGCTCAAGGCTAGTGCTCTACCACTTGAGCCACAGCTCCACTTCCAGCCTTTTCTGAGTAGTTTATTGGAGATAAGAGTCTCACAGACTTTCCTGGCTGGGTTGGCTTTGAACTGCTATTTTCAGATCTCAGCCTTCTGAGTAGCTAGGATTACAGGTGTGAGGCACTGGTGCCTGGCTTACAGATATTTGAATTTGAAATCCTAGAGTAGATTTAAGACTTTGGAGATTTTATATTATAAAATATTTACATATGTATATATTTTAAAGATTCATTTCTATAACATTAAATAACAGTAAAATGTACTTTTTAGGTCTGTCTTGGTAGCATTTTGAGAGTATTTTCGAACTTAATTATTTGCTAAAACACACAATTCTTAGTTGCCAGGTATGAATATGCCCAAAGAACCGATACTAAAATTTTGGTACAAAACTATTTTGTGAA